CTTTTATATAGCTTTATTTGCATCTCTATGCGCCGATTGGCCGTGCAGGGCTGGAGCCGCTGGCCGCAGGCGCACCGCAGCCAATCAAAGCGGCGCGCTTTGTCCAGCCCCGCTGCCCTAGTCGGTAGGCAGCTGGCGGGGCGTGCCGAGCCGGCGTGGACACCAGCTCCGCCTCTGCGCGACCCCCTCAGGGGAGGCACAACAGGGGGCGGTGACCCTAGAGTTGAGGCTGGAGTGCGCTGGTTTCCCTTCATACCCTGAACAACGCCCCCGGGTCAGCTGTGTGCGAGCAGGAGCTCATCCATCCATCCATCCACCCACCTCGCATTTGGGTTCACCAAGTGCCTCCCCAGAGGAGCGCTGAGTGCTGAGTGCTGAGTCCTGGACATGGCGGGCAAAGTCAGTCAAGCCCGTGGTCTCCAGACTGGAGGGGACCCTGGGTCTGCACTGGCGTGGCTGCAGAGCCCCGGAAGTGGGAGCCCATAGGGCAACTGGGGCGGGAGCGGGCCGTGGCCCCCTTGCGTTTCTCGCGGACATGTGTGTCTGGACACCGCCCTCCCTCCGCCGCCCTCAGCCTGCGCGGGGATCCTAGTGCGGCGGGGTTCGTCGGCTTTGCCGCACCTCCAGGCTCCCCTTCTCGGGTCATTCTCCCCACCTCGTCCTTCCCTCCTCTGCCCCGCAGCCCCCACAGCTGGGCATCATCCCGTCCCCCCTTGAGCCTCTATCTCCTCCTAATCCTAATCCTTCGCTCCTTCGGTCCCCCTTGGACTTCCCTTTTCCCTCTTAGCTCCACGCCCACCCCTCCCCGGTCGCAGCCCCGTTTTCCTGTCCCCTCCCAACTCACCCCCTATCCCCTGATTATTCCCCACCTCACGCCCTTCCCTGGTCCCCATCCCTGATCCTTCGCCTGGCCCCCCTCTCCTCAGTCTCCTTCATCCCTCGCCAGCCTCCATGCGGGTGGGATCTGCGGGCCGTGGAGGCTTGCCCTTAGACAGCGCCCTGGGGACCCTGGTCAGGCCCCTGCCCCATGGGCCTACGTTCTCACCACCAGGAAGAGCCAGATGCCTAGATGCCTTGTGGCATCACCTTTCACCAGGAGCACTCTCCAGATTCCCCCTTCAATGGCTATTTCCTCACTGCTCAGGTCTCAGCTTCCTTATTCACTCACCTGGTGGGAGTGCACCTGTTCCACAGGAGCACTACACCCTTAACCAGTGCTCTACTACTCACCAGGGATTAGCATTAGGATTGTACCTCCATCGCTGGTCAAGGATACAGCCTGATCTAGGGCCCCCTATCTACCTGGTCTCCTAGGAGCACTGGGTGGGTTGGGAATGTCCAGGAACTGTGGATTGGTAGGACTAGGCCATAGAAACTATCCCCACCCCATCCCCAGTCACTTAAGGCAGACCTGGCAGCCCTCCAGGCGGCTATTTCACTCTGGCTCCCCACCAGAGGGACCTCACAGGCAGGGCTAGTTTCATGAGAGGTTTGAAGGTTCCCAAAGTCGCCTCACTGACTTCTATTATTACTTGGGAGCCCCTTCTGCTGATTCTCACCTGTGTCTGAGCTGCCTCTTGGTTGCTTCTTTGTGAGCAGGCCCCCGAGACTCCCCCAGCCCAGCACTACTCACCCAGGTATGAACCCGCTCCTTTATTTTGGACACCCTGTTGTCCTCAGTCTCCTTCCCAAGCCAGAAAACAGCTCTCTTCCTTCTGCCCTCTCCTGGTTGCTCAGAGACCCAACTGGCCTGCCATCCTCCATACCTACTGGGGGCTCTGGCAGAGTTAGGGGGTGGACCCCAAGCTGGCCTGTAACTTAATTCTTCTTTGCCATTTAGACATCACTCCAGGAAAGGAAACATAGCTCTGCACACACACACACGCACACACACACACGCACACACACCTACAGTTAAGTTTTCACTACTTTGAGAAGCTGAGATATGGAAAAATAAGCTCAGTGATATTTCTCAAATTATTATTCATACCCATCACTAGCCATTATATTATCTGAACAAGGCCAAACATGTGTTTTAGAGCGTTCTCCATGAAAGTCAGCTCACATGGAACAGGATGATCAGGACCCTGGGGGAGGCCTCAGGGAAAAGATTAATAGAACACCTGATTGGGTACTGAGTGGGGGCCAAGGAGGACAAATAAAGGCAAATGGTGCAAGCAAAAAATGAAAAGCAACAAGGAACTCCAGAAAAAAAGCAAAAGAAACCCCACAAAACAACAAAAAAAACCAGTCCCAGAATAATCTCAGCACATTATTTGGCTCAGTAGCCAATTTTTTCAGTCACAACACTATTCGTAGGGTTTCAGCATTTAGAATCAATCTATAGAGAAGGCAAGGAAGGCTTAGTTATGATCACAGGACATAATATAAAGTTGGTTGTAAAAAGAAAGGACGGGAGATAGTTGTCCGGAGAAGGGAGGAGGAGAAAGGAGGGCTGGGACCTGAAAGCCTTGTCTTGCATGGGGGGGGTTGGCGGGGGGGGGGGGGGG